GGCCATTCCGAAACCATTTTCAGCGTTTCCGGTCTATTTCTCGAGCAAACTTTTCCCTAGAGAGAATGTTGTGGAATGCAAATCTAAATGCGCATTCCTAACTCATTAAAAAAAAACTCATTTAAAACAAAGTGTTGCAGCCATTCTGTCCATCACTGTACACGTGTAACGGCGATAAGTGCGATATAATTATGCAATGATGTTTGTGCATTTCAGTTTCCCCGTAATTCAGCCTGGAATTCCTTAATGACGTCAAGTTTAAAGACTACTTAACAAAGCATCTGCCATTAAAGCGATTGACAAACGATTAGATAGATTAACGGGAGGTCATACAATAGCTTACGCATTCCATTCACGATCTATCACCTTCCTCTCTGCCTACCGAATGTTTGACGTATGTTATTTCAATTAATCCATCGATAACTTGCGAGATATATAACTTGCGCTCGAAAACACGAGGCAACTACCTGACGTAGCGTTTTCTTAACACGATTACAAGTCAACTTGAGCAATTGCGGAATACTCCAGGCACATTTTTCTCAGCGCGGCAACGCAGATTAGGGGCAATATCTACTTCACGGATATCGAGATGAAAAACGAGCCGTCGAGCGTTTATTTCGTTTTCTATCGCGAAAACGTATATCGCGCGCCAGTATGCGCGGAGGGTGACGTTGCACGGGGGATGCTTCTGGCGAATGTCCAACTCGGCCGTGTAACCGATCCCGATCGGGCGGAGTTTTATGCAAAACCCTCGGCTTCCTCGCACACGCTCAAGAAGAGCCCGCGCGTTCATTGCTCGCGTGTCACCGGGGCCGCGGAAGTGCCGCTCTCGTCGGGAGCGACCCGGGCCGGGGAATCGTGTAGCATGCTGCAGCATGTTGCAGCTGTGTCCTCCTTTTCGAGGTATCTACACAGAGGAATACGTGCCTGTATCCCTCCTCCACGAATTACGTCTTGTGTCGATAAGAAAAAAAAAAAACGCGGAACAAGCCGCATCATTCGCGGTGCCAACAGTTTTCTGCACAGGAACGTCTGACCTCGTCGTTTCTCATGTCGGATCCTTTGACGAATTCAGAATCGCTCGGGGAAAATTCAGGGGAAAGGTCGTCATCTGTTGCGATTTATTTATGTCGCTAGATAAAAACAAATCCGCATTGTATTTTGTATTTTATTCGCAGTTTCTGGTAATGGAATTTTTTAATTAAAATTTTTGCATTTTTTAAATCAGTTTAAACGCTAATTTCATTGCTGATTCGGGAAGAGAAGCTCGTCGTTTTCTCGAAAAACTGCATCCACGTTTAAATCTTGCCGTGTATTGATTATAGTTTCTTTTTTGCATAATCATCTACTTCTAATGCGCGGATAGATTCGATTTTGATAAAAAAGTATTCTATATAAAGAAGGGACTAAACTACGATAGCTCGGTATGTATTTGGACGCACGGCCTACGTGCAGTCGATATCGGAGTAACGTGGTTTTTTTTATTACCGTGTCGCAATGAAGCGTAATGTTTCTTCTATGACGTAGAGAGGCGGGCATTTCTGCGACGAGACTTGAAAAATTATTATTGAAAATACGCGAGAAGCTTTTCCGTCGTCTTTTCGTCCGTGAAATGCGTGTAGATCGATAAATCACCGCGCTTTCTAGCTCCGGTCGGCGAACAATCTTTAATTCTACATAAGGAGCATCGAGATTTATCTAGGATTATCGTCTTGCGTGTGGTATTTTCTTTAGCCGGGTAGATTTTGACACCTCGATCAGGAACATGCACCTTCGGAGACCCGAAGTTACGCAGTAAAAAATCGTGCGTTCAAATGTTAAAATTTTCTTGCGTTACCAAGATTTGATTCTTACTTCAATGTAACATTCACATAAAACGTATATGTTAGTATTTTCGTAACACTTTAACGTGTTATATTTATGTTAACATAATAACTGGACATTTTATGTACGTTATTTAAAAATTGAATATCATTTTGAGTTCTTTTAACACAACTATTTCACAAAATCAAACGAAACATGTAATATCGACGTTTCTTAAAAATTCTTTAAACTATTCTGATTCGTAACTATTCGTACAGTTTACTTATCCTGTCTGTTTTTATTACATCGCACTTAAGGTTAAAAGAACATAAACGTAAACGTAAACGTGTAGTAGTGATGATTAATTAACATTTATAATTTGTCAAAAAGTAACACACGCGGTAAATGTTATTTTAACTTAAAATGTAGAGTGGACTTTTTGGAACATGTAAAAAATGTTAACATTAACATTTTATTTTTTACTGTGTAGATATCTCGTGAATTGTTTTTAATAGATGTAAAAATGCAGACAGATTGCTGGGAAATTCTGGAACGCATAATAATTGAAACAATGCTACAAAATTGTATTATCCATATTTCATATCTCTGTATAATGTCTAAAAAATTAACGAATGAGTGCTGAATTAATGCCACTGAATAACTGACATTTCGAAAAAAACTATAATAATTTTCTATTTCGTACTTTAATCGCTGTCACGTTCAATGTATTTTTCCAATGTTGTCTACCGAAATTTTTGTGCACAGAATATCTTCGTGTCAAGCTGGCTCGCAAGTTTTAGGCACATTTTCCAAGAGACGCCACTTCCTTCGGAGTTTCTCAGCTTTTCGTGTTGGATACTTTTGAAATAAAATCTCGAAATAAAAGCGTAAAAAGACCTTCGAAAAAAGTTCTGAAAAGTAGCACTTATCGCAAGAATTCCGCTGTACGTAACACAATCCGGAAAATGCGGAACTTAAAAAATTTACAAACGAAATACCTTCCGGGCGAAGCACGCGCCACTCCTGCTCGTCTCACTTTTACACGTGAATAGTTTATGGGGCATAAAAAGCATCGCAGCAACCGCGGTTGGTTGCAAATTGTTAAGAGTTCTGCGGAGGCTAGGGGGATGGGCGGTCGGGCCAAGCGGGGGCCAAGAGGGGGCTCCTGGAAGAAAAAGGGTAGATTAGAAAGGACGAGAAAGCCCCGGCGGAGGGAAAGTCGCGGCTCGGGGCAACGCTCGGCACGAGAGGGAACTCGCGAAAGAGAGGAGGGTGCTGGTGGAAGTAGGCTGTGACAGTGCGGTCGTGAGGGGGTGCTGGCGTGGAAGGGTCGCGCGCTCTGCGACGCTCTGCACGAGAGGGCGGATGTCAGTCCACGTTCGAGCGGCCACCGGTATGGGCGCGTGAGCGGATCCGCGAGCGATCGGGCCGCGTTTTTCCACCACTCATCGCGGCTTTGCGAACGGAAACTTGATAAACCGCGACGTGCGATCGTAGGTGGGACAGAAAGCGAGGAAGTGCGTGCGTATACGCGTGAAACCACGCGTAGAATTGGCCCGGTGAGATGGTCAATGGTGCATGCGTCTCGTCGGAGACTCGGATGATTGCTCGAAAGGACTTCCGAGCCGATCGATACATATTGTCGTTGTGTAATTCGTAAAACAATCTTCTGATGCACGTATGTCGAGAGGAAACCGGTACTATAGTTTTGTACAACTTTGTATTTAGTTCGATAGTTCGAACATTGGCGGGCCCTGCGAAGAGATTGATTAGTGAAATTGCCGTCGATACACGACAGATCTATGACACATTGTTAATTCATTACGCGCAATAACGTGAAAAGTATATTAGTTTTTCAAATGTGCATTTTCCATGTCGAGGTCGACCCTTGGGTATCCGCACTCACGCGTTCCAGTAATATTGTCAATATCGAAGTCTACACTGAGAGAAAATTCCATCGGATAAACCAATTAAATGGTGTTTCCGACGATGGATACATCCGAAGAGGCGCAGTTACCGACGAAATTTCATTGGAAAACTGCATCATATTTTTCATTGGCTATATCTGTTTGTTATTATGTAACTGGTGTAGAAAATTGCTTGACGACGCTTGGCTGGCAAATTCTAATTAAAGAAATTCATCGCGAAAAATACCACCTCAGCCAGGGTTGTGTAATTGGATTATCCGATTATATTTAATCGGACATTTTTCTCAGTGTAACATTGATCATGTGAAGAGTTTTTAGTTGGAACGATCCGCTGGCGTCTATATTCGTCTGTCGTTAGATATGATTGGGATACGTCTTGGTAAGGAAGTATCCAGAAACGCGTATCGCTTAAAGAGAGATCGCGATTTATACTGGCTGTATCGAGGAATCACAGAAATACGTTCACGTGTCCCACGCGAGTTCGTCCAGCTCATATCAATACAGCCTGTGCACTGCGTGATCGTTAAGTTCCTGCTTATCGAATTGAATTTAAGAATCGTCGTGTCACGACTCACCCGCGAATGACGCCTTTAAACTTTCTTTGTCTTGTACAAAGTATCACGTTATTTGTACTTTCCCTTGAAATCTAATTGATGAAGAGATACGACCGTATTTACCATACATCTCTTCGTCCGACCATAACTGGACTCGTTCTACTACGAGCTTTTAATGAACGGTGGCTACGTCCATCCATTTCGTTTCAGGAAATATTATTGCTCGAACGAGAGAATGTTCATTGAATTAGATTTTATTTTAACAATAATTTGAACTCACGACTTTCGAAACTGTACTAAATTTAAAAAATTTGCACTAGAGTGTGTAAACATTCCAGAACAACGTTGTTGTGTTCCACTTGTTCAATTATATTTGATAAAGCTAAATAATATTCTTTTTCATTTTATTTACTTTTTATTAAAATTTACACTTTTATCTCTTATTGCGTAACTTATAATATAAAAGAAGCAATTTCATGCATTTTATTGAATACAATTGGGTATTTTATGCATTTTCTGTTACAATTGTACAAGGAAAATTGATTATCCCCTCGGTATTTTCCACACAAAGATTTGCGAGCTCGCCTTTCTAAAATTCTAAGCGCGAAATTAGCGTCTACGTTAGGGGGCGGAAAAATACGAGGTATTTTTTTTTAATCCGCCCGCGCTGAGAAAAATGAGACCGCGGTAAATTTATTGCGACACCCTTTTAAGATTTCTGACGACCAAGAAAACGCTTGTACCATTCACGTGCGGAAGTGCGGTATTCTTATTACCATCATGATGATATTTCCACGTTATATCTCCCGCTTTTGATCGAAGATATAAAAGTGTTATCCGGCATGAAGAAATACAAGTGTGAATTGAAAATATAATAAAGTATTTTTATCCCTTGGACACGAGTGAACTTGGAAATCTGGAAAAGCTTTCGAAAATATATACGAGGGATATCCAACACTTACACACGAAAAAACGGTTTGCGCATAGCGTTGTTGTTGTCTTGCCAATGGATCAAGAAACTCGCCGGGCAAGAGCAATAATGCGACGCTAATGCTATCGCGGCAGTCGCGGCAGCATTAAAACGCGGAACTTACTTTGTCATAGCATCAATTTTAAGCGTACGGTATCTGTAAAAAAAAATACAAGGTTGCATCGCTGTTATACGCGAGATGACAAAAACAAGTGATTGGTGCGTGCATTCTTAAACTTTCCTCTCCACCTTGCATTATGGGGACCGGTATTTCTTTCATCGAACTTTTCCTAGCAGGGTAGTCTAGTGGGTAACTTTCACGTTTCCCTTATATGCCTCTCGGAGCACTGAGCAGAATTTGCCGAATTTGTTACGCGCTTTTGCGCGCGAAGGAAATACGTGAATGCCACGACGTTGGATAGAGAGAAACTGCATTCTTCTCAGAATCATTTTTCGGGTTTCGACGAATATAGATAGAAACCGCCAAGTCCGTGACTTTCTTGTGGCAATAAGGCAAATGAAACCTTTCACTGCGACTCGCTGCCAAAAAGTAAAAAGCGCGACCATGTAGATTTTTCTTCGAGATTTAGCTTTTATAGAGCTCGGCAAGTGCCTTCGTCTCCGGGAAAAGCTCCACGGGAACTTTGTCAATTTCGTTTTGCTCGGCACGTTTTAAGGTGTTTAGAGAGTGGAATCTTTTCTATTATCTTTGCGCAGAGAATAAAGTTTTAAAAGTGCATTGTGTTGTTGCAAGTTTTCGAGTGCATTGTTTGCAAGTTTTCAGAGTGATTGCATATGTAAATGAATGCGTATTCGGTGATCATATTTTTATATTGTTATGAGAATTTCTTACACTTCGATTCGCGTGAGTATAATGAAAGTAAATGGTAACTTAACACACAGGGAGATAATTTTGGACGTAACGCATAAAACTTGATCTTTAAGTCATAAATCTTGGAAAACTATAGTTTTCTTTCTGCAGACAGCTTACAAATATAAATTATTTTGATTCAAATCTATGCTTTCAAATTTTCATAATCAAAATTCATGCTTTCTTCCTGGCCTATGATAAAAAGTTTTTATCTTTTATCAACTCTGCCAATGATATCTTTGTTATCGTAGTGCATTTTTGGATTTTTTTTTACGACACGGACTCTGTTTCGATTTCCAATCACAGCTTGAATTTGTGACACGAACAATTTGTAGAACGTGGGTATATGGAAATTTTTCATCCAATATTGTATAGGATTTCCAATTTTCCTATTCGAAATCATAGAAATTCAGATTGTGTACAAGTATTTTACGTTTGCTCTCCCGTATAACGAAAATTTAACGCTAATATACGTACGCGGAGGAAAGGAGAAACTAGGCAGACGTAGACATTCCGGCACTTTAAACTGCAAGTTACGCGAGAATAGCGTAACGAAAGTAGTGTTACGACAATTATTTGTCGTAAGCATTGCGTATATTCCGTAAAATATATGTATAATAAAATGCTTGCGAAGAAGAAGCGGTTACAAATGCCGCTCATTGAGAATAAATCTTACATTTTCGGTTTTCTAAAGAGGTACGATGACTTTCACGATACGGTAACAAAAATGATACTAGCGTAGACGCTCAAGAAGCAAGAACATTCCTCACAAAAACGATACGACGGAAGATTTGGGAGAAAAAACAATTAGTGAGATAATAGCTTTTAACGAAGCGTTGCGGTAGAAATGAACCGGTCGATTCCGTCTCGCCTTACGGTGACGATGATCGAGATTTATGGTCGATCAGTCGTTCTTGTTGGTGAAGTACGTATCTACGGCGAATACCAGAGCTGCCAAGATCGCGAAAGAACCGGCCGCTACCGTTTGATCGCTGTATTCCTGCAGATACGCGTGAATCAGGTTACTCGAGAAATTGTCCCAGTCGCGAATCAGAATGAGGCCGGCGGTGCAGCACAGAATCGCTCCCATAGTCGAAAACATGAGAGCCTGCAAAAGAAGAAAATGAACAATAGCATCTTGTCGCGGTATGTTGTTGCGTTGTTGCTACGTCGAAGCTTGCCAGGTCAGCTGGGGATACAAGAAAACTACGGCAGAAAGTTAAATTTTCGTTTGAAAACTGCTTCTCTTCAGAAAACACGAGAGAATATAGCAAAATAACGCGCGTAACTTTGAGTGTGCTCAGTTTTCAGTTTTCTAAATTATCAGTGAAACACGATTGACGAAAGTACAAAAAGAATGCCAATCTCTTCAAGCCTTCTCGCCTTCGTACAAAATTAATTATTCCCTTTTCTTTCATAACGTGATTGTTTTTATTAGCAATTACAGATCGCATTTTGTGCTTTGCGCCAATTGATGGGCTATTTTTATTCGCGACAGTATAGTATTCTAACTCACCGTTTTTTTGGGCAGTTTTTCGCCCAACAAATGGCTCATAATAAGAATCCCGTTTATAAGGATATAACCGCATACTGCCACGTGAAATATCGCTATATGGTGTATATCAGTCGGCCGAATCTGATTCTGTTGAAATGGACCTGCCACTAATCCCGTTGCAATGACGCAGAGAACCTGTAATGTTCAACTGTTATTTTTTTTCTATATAAAGTAAGACCTTTGCAAAAAAATTTGAGGCAAAGAATTTTCTAAAACATCACTAAACATGCTATTAGCTTGCAACGAGAAAAAAAAAGACTTGGTCCCGTTGATCTCGAAAGTGTTTGAAATGTCCAAACGGTATATCTTGAAATTTGAGAATTGCTTGTTATTAAAAAGAATATAACAGTTCTTAAAAGTCCACCGTTGATTTTGGAAAGCTGCAACGGCGAAACGTTTACAGAGTTTACATTTATTTACTCCTGTATCGCTGAGAGATTCGCTTCGGAAAAATGAAAGGTAATTTGCGTTACTGTCTGACGCGTTTTTAAATAAGACATCGACAATTGAGATCGTAGCAACGTTTTACCAGTTCGATAATTTTGCAAAAGAGCGGCGCTTCCTTAAGATATCCCTTGAGTCTCGTCAAGAGGCTGGGTGCAGAGCCGGTCTCCTCAGCCATTCTCGAATCCACACTTCGTGGCACACTCAGTCAGTTTGGACGCGCAAGTTAATAATCACGGCGAGAAAAGTATTCGTCGAGACATTCGTAGTGCGACGACGTCTGTTTCCAACTACGCTGAGAAACGCTCCACCCAACTATTGACCTGTCAGAGGCTAGTGTGACACTGACTAACATTAAACCGACTATACAAGTCCCCACTTCCTCGCTAAATGCATTTAATGCGTCATGGCAATGGTTCTTGGTACTCAACCTTGGCGATGGGTCTGAAACGATCTGTACTCCATATCTCTGAAGATGGGCCTCGCCGCGGACACGAATCTCGCACTAAAAACATTCTTGACGAGTTGACTAGCAACGGTTTTAACTAAAGCTTGTCAGTATGAACAGCAGTTGGTCAATTTACTGTTAAGTGTCCACCGTTTATTCGTAAACAAAACTCGTATCATGTGGCAAGTTATTTTTCTTTGCGCCAATAAAGTATTTAACAATTGCTATTACAATCTATTCCAGCGATCTAGAATGTGCATTCTCGCGAAATTTTACTACGATATGGCATTGGGGGCGCAAAGGAGAGCGATAAATCGGAAGGTAGCCTAATCCGACCGAGAATTACGATCTGGAAGTGCCTGCCGTTGGAAATTCGGCGGAGGAGCAAACTTTGTCGCGAACGTTCTGCCGAGTTTCACGGCGATGCAAAAGATAAAGGGTAGTTATTGGCGAATGGAGAAATGCAGCGAATAATTTTGCATCTCATTGCATCGCGCTCAGATTGTTGCAACTCCTCGTTAGGTCGAGCGCTGTAAAGATATCAAATCACCCCCCCTGGAACTAGCGCTTGAATTCGACAAGAAGAAATAAACCGTTTATTAGTTGTCAAGCCTCTCTCTCGAAATTTTATCTGGACTATTATCCTGGAATTAGAACACTCAAGTTGTTGACTGCAATTCTTTTCACTCGAGATTTCTTAATTTTACTCTTTGTATTTTGTATCGTACACGCAAATTTGCTCGCGAGAAGAAGAGGAAACTAAATTTTCTACCGCAGTGGAGATTTGAAATTATCTCGAAACTTTTAATTAACTTTACGGTAACCTACGAGCTTTTAACGCCGATTGATTCTAAAGGAGAAAAGTCGGCGTTCGTTCTAAGAAACACGTGGAAAGTGCATTCGTACGATTGTAAAAGTATATTATCCGTATCTCTTCCCGAATGGGAACCACGCACGAAAATACACCCGGCATGTACTTGCGCTATCCACCCACGTTCATCCCATTGCTACGCTCGGCCGCTCGCTTAATTTATCATAATTCCTTCCGAGTTCGCTCTCTTGCCGCTGCCCTCGGCCCCCTTGCCCTCCTCTCGTCACTTTTCTTCTTCTTTCCCACCGTTAACGAATTCCCTACTTGCCTCCATCACTCGCCGCCTCTCTCTCTTTCTCGCTGTTCTTCGGTTTCATCTTCGGCATGTCTCGCGAGTTTCATTAGGTCGACGCTGTCGAGAGACGTCGTAGACTTCGTAGAAAATTCAATACGTCGTGCGAATTTTTATGAAATCGCTTCGCAAAGTTACGAAGAGTCTTTTTCTTTATTTCTTACTAAACTACTTGATTACGATAAACATCGGTGAACGTAGGTTTTCCTATCTGACATTTCTCGTGTGCTTATTACGTATATGGAACAGATATGTATACACCATGACTTTATCTCTTTTTCTGTCTCTTGTCTCAAATCTTGCCATGTGTGAGAATTGTATGGGAAATTTAGACGATGAAGAAACATAAATATCGGATTGCAAGTTTGAGAACGGAACAACTCGTCGAAATAAAAAATTGTTTTCGCTTTTAAATTGGAAAATTATAAGTTTTACAGAATAGGAAAATCGATAACCGACACAACTGGCAATTTTAATTAGAGACAAGTTATCGCGAAAAAATATCACCTCAGCCAGGGTTTGAACCTGGACTTCCCTACACTCTAGGCGGGCGTCTCAACAATTCGACCACCGGGGACCTTTTTACGCAGAACTATTACGAATAAAAACAAAGTTTAGCATAAAAAAAAACCTTGTCAATCCAATTATTAATTAAATATAAATTTTTGTAGACTTGAGATAAAGAGTAGAAAAAAGGACGATCCTTTTGCGTAAATTAATATAAATTCTCCATATACTAGTAGTGTGAATTTTTTGTCGCGTATGATTTTGTTATATGTAATTTTTACAAAAGCGTGAAGCGCCACCGCAATTCACGTCAATAAAAATCGAACTTGTCGCCGCAATGTGTTACCTCCCCTTCATAAACTGCTTTAATTAAACGTCCGCGTAAGCTTTGCCGTCGTATCCGCGTTTGTAGTTTAATAACAACGCCGCGATATCGCCGACGAATTTGACCATCAGTGCCCGTTAAGTGAGCGGGAGACGTACCGCCGGTAAAGCCGATCTCTGAAAGGCGGGTGAAATCATCCCGCCCGCTAATTAGAGCTTTCACTCCACTTATGGCCCGGTCAACCTATATATTTCCGCGGTACAATCGACGAGCGGCCGCAATTTTCTCTGTCAAATCTCTCGCTCCTCGAGCAGGTCGATAAGTCACACGTGACGTGGAAATTCTATGGGAGCGCTATCGCGCCCTCGAACACAATCGGGGGGTAAGAATCGTGATGTTTGGCGAAAATATATTCCCGCGACGTAGAGCCGCATTGCATCCGGAATACGCCGCGTATTTACCTATAAAGAGAATAAGCACGCCACTTCTGCAACGCGGCGTATTCTAAAGACACGCCGCACTGTCAGGCACTTTCGAGATGCCAATTTCACTCACGTGAAAAGCACCTGTGTTGAGAAAACTTGAATGTTTTATCATATATTTTCAACGGCGGAAAGAGAGGAAGAGATCAAACGCGGAAAACGCACGTGCACTCGTTGTCAAACTTAATCTGCATTAAACCTAGGGAGGGGGGGAAGAAACGATCTTCACCGAACGAAATACACGGTGTAATTTCAACTGTAGCATTTTGGACGAGCGTAGATACAATGGAGATACCTAGAATTAACCTAGGATCTCTCGCTCAAAGAAGTGATCTTGCAACTGCACACGGAAAGACCGGCTAAGGCTAAAATGGCTGAAATTAAAATGTTGCCGCATAAATAGGGGCATCTACATTGTTTTGTGTTGCAACATTCACTAAGTTTGCTGCACAAAACGCATGTATTTGTCTCCGCTACTTATCATACCAAGGTGGGTATGGCAGCCACAGATACAGCTGCCCCAAATGTTACTATTTATTGGGGCTGTGCCAACCCTAATTAGACATGTGGTAACCATATCAGTCTCTCCGTGCAGCGACAATTTTCTAGGTACGAAAAGACAACCGACAATAATATAAATGAGTAGCCAATACTGCGACGTCGCATATGTTTTGCCTGTAATCAATTTAAATAACAGGAACAGATTTTCTATCTGAACTATTACCGAATGTTGGGAAGAAAGTCTTTCTGTGACGCCCATCCAATATAGCGTTTGATTATGATACACAAACAGTTACATTCCTTACGAAGATTGTTCTAGCTGCGGTATCGAAATTCATTTTTATCCGATGTGAATGATTTGGTATTTAGTCATGAAACCTAAATTTTCCAGAAGGTATTAGAGTGCTGCTATATAACTTTCGTAGGCTACGCACAAGTTTCTAACAGATACACAAAATAGCGATAAACTTTTGTTGCGACACCTAGAAATCTACCTGCATTAGTGAGATTTTTTTTAGTGCTCGCGGACGAAGTTTAACGAAGAGACACAAATATAGTGCACAAGCACAATTTATATCTTACGTGCTCACACGGCATAAAAACCGGTTGCGCCGGTTCGACATCGGTGGCACAGTGACTCGCGCTGGCCGAGATGGGATGTAAAGGGAGCATAAAGGGATTAGAAAAGTCCACGGCAATTAACTCGTACGATATCCGAAAGACGAATATCATTCTTGTCACCCGGCTAATTATCCATGTCGGCTCCGATTTCTAAGAAGATACCAGTTTCGCTCGGTGACGTCTGTTCCGCTTATTTTCGTTCTGCCCGACCGATTTAACCAGACGCATCGGCGAACGCATCCGATATCTTATCACTTCGTGTTATCTTCGCTTTCATCCGCCGAGCGCGATTCTATTTGCACGGCAATCTAGATTGTTGTCATTACACTCGCGTTAACATAATGCGCGATTGTGAATGTGATTTCTGGAGTACACTGTCGACGATATTTGCTTTTGTCGTCCGCACGCCGGCAAAACCGGCTGGCTGACGTCCCTGTTTCGCGCCGGTGGTGGCGATTTGTACTTTCGCGATACACTGTTGCTGATACGCAATTACCCTTCATCTCCAATGGAATAATCTCAATAGGATAAAGTGTTTACTTTTACTCTCGCGCACGTATATGTATGTACCACCATTACTGCTAGAGGAGATAATGGACGCGATTATCAGTCCATATTTCGATGTCGGAGATTAGCGTCGCAACGTATAATTTTCTCCGGAGAAACCGTAATAATATTTCAAACGTTTATTATCGTATTTTCTTGTGTTTTTATTAATAATTTGTTATCGTAATGATACTCTACGTATAATATCAAAAGTTATATTACACACTGAACTGATATAGTTTCGAAGAAGCATAAATATTTATTCCGTATTTCATTGATTTCTGCTAGATTTTATAGTCAAGATATAGATAGACTTACACTCTTCAAAATTTACGGCTTTATAGAGAAATGTTTAACTGAGTTAACGTATCCATTTAAACTTAATTAACGTAATTTTTTTACGGTAGCAAAACATCGCGGATTTTAGAGAGAATTAAAAATTTTGATGCCCCTCCTTTCATTTCAATTGCACTAAGTGTTTTATTAATATTTGATTTGTACTTGCGAGAGAGATTCCACATTTTTCGCTTGAGTGGCAGCACAGACTTATAAAGAAATAAAAAATAATAATGAATAGTTAATATAATTATCAACCTAAAGTCAACTGATGATAGATAAGAAAACGCGGTATGCATTGTTTTCTTCCCTTTCTCTCTTTGCTAGATATTAGTTATCGATCGATCACTGAATTGCAGACGCGGCGTGTGTGGTGGATGCAGATGCAGCCGCGCATTCTGTCTCGATAAAACGATGACTTGAGTCTTAATCGCGCGTTTCTCGATGGCATTGTCTTGCGAAGAGCGCTTACACGAACAGGTTTACAATGTCCGCGTAACCCAGTGAAAAACCCAGTAAATTCTCTTTGATTTTGTGCAAAGGTTGTACCAGTGGGGCTTGGTATTTACCCCCTGTTAGGAATCTAAGGGTTAATCTTCTGGATTCCATGGTACGCGCGGCTCCCTGATTTCATTATCCAGTGTCGACACGAGTTTTCACTCTGTCGACCTTGCTGACCTGCTGGTGCAGGAACGTGTAACGCGCCAACATCCATCAGGATTAAATCGCGCGATTAATGTTATAAACTGAGTTGTTTCATAGAATCGCGGCGCGACGTTTAATGGAGATTATCGAAAGCCAAAATTAACATACGATTTAATACATTATTGTACAATAAATGCAGCGAACAGAAAAGTCCGACTGAATTCCGCGTCGTGAAGCCGTCGGTTTACGCGGAGCTAATTAACGCACAAAATACATCTGTTAAACGTAACGCAATTAATATCTGCATTCTGGACATTGTTATGAGTTTGTTTTCCGCGTGCTATATTTCAATTCATAATTTCTCGCGTAATATTAACGTGCCACTTTATTTGTTATCGAATACATGAATTTCCAATGCGATTGAAATGCCTGTTCTCTAGCAGCGATTAAACGATTTGATTCCACCTGATATATGAGCGATACGCGGAACTGCTTCCATAATACGCGGCGTTCTTGGCTACATCATCGCGCGAATTTCCGTTGCGGCAAATCCCGGCAAAATTCTGACTCTCGTGTCGAGAATGGCCCGTGGCAAAACTGCATCCACAACGTGCGAAGGAGCATCCGATTTTTGAGATGCGCGCGGACGAAGTTACACGTCGCTTCGAAACTTTCCAGCGACAACGAAATGCAGATGCCCCCGGCCCTTATCCGTTTTGTTTACCATGTGATTAGTAAGGTGGATGATAGAAGTGTAGTTAAATTTACTATTATTATGATTGCATTTACTGCATAAAAATAATTAAGTAATTCACTATTCATTACCTCGATATTTTAACAGAATAATAGTCAAGAGCTTATATTTTATAGTAAATTTTTTAAATAGTTGGCATCACTGTGTCTATATGGTTGCTATTATAATACTAATATTGTAGTAGTAATTACTATAAAAATGATAGTCCTGACTATAATTATTTTACTATGCAATTATAGTTTCAAGTAAGTACTACATTTTTTTTCTATCAGCGTGGGCATTAGTAGGCATTGCTGTATGTGATTTTGATCAGCGGTTTACCCATAGACATAATATATCTAGACCGAGCGTTTGCCTTCATTTGAGCAGTGCTGTTGGTTCGCATGCGATCAAGAGAGAACGAAATAGCATGAGAGTTTTCCTTCTCTACGTGAATTTCTATCCCCATTGCTCAATGCTCGGTCTAGATATTTTATGTCTATGGGTTTACCCCTCGTATTTCACATAACATGCGCTCTCAGTAAAGATGTAAAAGTGATATAAGAAACGTAACAGTGAGACATCGTGAAAGCGAGAGTGTATCTGTTTCTTAAATATGAAATTTTTGCATATTGTTGTACCATATTGTTTATTATACGAACCAACGT